CCACAATGGCAAAGATCTCGCGCTGCTCCTCCGCACTGAAGTCAATTACGCTCAATGCCTGCTGCACCTGCTTGAAGTTGTCCGCATCGTTGATGCTGCTCACGCTGCCCTTAACCTAATCCAAACAAAGCCATTTAGCTGGAACACCTTGAAACTTGCTCCAAATATGACTTACCCCATCTGTCAGGTAGTTGTAGCTGTCCAGAGCACGCTCCAGGTGCAGCTCCTGCAGCAAAGCGGCGTCTGCGCCCGCCAGCAGCTGGTAGAAGATGTGGAAGTTACGCTCCCCGCCCATCTGGGCAACCACGCGCGACTTCTCCAGCAGATAGTTGAGAATGTTGCCACCAATGGGAGCGCCCTTGTAGTCGAACTGGATGTCCATGTACTTGCCGAAGCGGGAGGAGTTGTCGTTGCGGTTCGTCTTGGCATTGCCAAAGGCCTCCAGCACGGGATTGCTCTTGAGCAGCTTATCCTTGACGCCCTCCACGGTGGTCTGATGGCCGGAACAGGCGGCAATATACTGCAACACCTTCTTGGAGGCCTCCGTCTTGCCGGAGCCACTCTCGCCCGAAATGAGCACGCACTGGCCGCGATTCTCCTCGATCAGCGAGCGGAACGCGTTGTCCGTCACGGCAAAGCTAAAGATGAAACCAACTATTAGTCAACATGCAGAGAGGGAGAGAGATTTCCGACTTACATATGAGGTGGCATCTCATAAAAGTGTTTATTGCGATACTCCTTGATGTGGGCATCGGAGTAGATGGGCAGCTGCTTGTAGGGATTCACCGAGACCAGAACTTGGCCAATGTAGGTCTGTAATGAAGATTGACAGAATTAGTTTAACAGGCTTAAGGAAAACTGTGGCCAAGAGAAATGCATGAAAGGGCTTACACAGATCCAGCATCCGGTCTAAAAATTGAGTACAATATTTTAGAGCAATGGATGCGTGGTAAGAGACAAGAAATAGAGACAGAGACAGGAATTGAGAGAAATTGTGAAAGACAGCAAACAGAGTAGGGAAAATCAATTGCAAATTGTGCACTTACATAGATGAGGTTCTCCTGGAAACGCTTCCTCAGATTGCCAATAAATGCATCCTCGCTCTCGTAGTTCTCGAGCAGCACGAAATCCTGTACGCCCGCACGATCGCGTTCGTGCAAACCTGTCTCCATGTTGGGTAAAGGTTTAAAGCTAAATATATAAATGGGAAAAGTCGTGACCACCAGATCAGTTAAGTTTTTTTTTTAGTATTGATAAGCATATGTAAATTTCTGGAGAAGCATTTCAAGTACACACACAATCAGCCCTCGCGCCAGTTTCTGGCTAAAACAACTTGAGGGCTTTAATCGTCAGGTATTGGCTCGTTCGGTAAAAACCGATTGTAAAAACCTCTTACCCAATTGATAAGATTTTTTTTATTTGCTGAGAATTTATGGCTTTTCGACTCATAAGGAAATGTGGCCAAAGCTATTAAAATCAGAAGTAGATATATATACATATATATATATTGATAGATCCCGAATTGGGCATATATAAGATACATGCATTATGCATAATAGAAACCCGCACGTTATATTTATTAAAAGCATTCGTGGTGTTTATTAATAGATATGAACGTTGGGCAGGTGCAATTCGCATTCTGTTCTTATCGATGTCATATATCATATCACTGGAAACGCCTGGGTTATTAAGGTCTACAGTTTATTTGTTGTTGTTATTGTTGTTGTTGTTGTTTCACACTTTCATATCGTAGCCAACAAATCCAAAAGCGTCGATTACGCAATGACATTATTAAGTATATTTGCCATTGTCGGATTATGCGGAGCCGCAATAAATATATATAAATTAAATTAGCTGGAGGATAGGTGTCCGGGCGGAAATAGTTAAACGATGTCCAATATTGATAGCATGATGTAAGCACTTGAAACTTGACAAATCGAATTTTTTTCTTTTTTAATCAGACCTAAAACACATTAGAACAAGGGCCAATTATCGGCCTAGATTAGTCCGTATCGCTGTACCTGGCCATTGTGTTTGCTTTTGGTTTATCCTTGTGAATTGACTTTACACTGATCGCTGTCAGTTTTCGCACATACTATTCCGCACATCAACGACTGCGTTGGCAAACTAACACGATCCGGAGTTGGCAATAACGTTTTAACCATCAATATACAATTGGTATGCTCCGGCCTGGTTGTTCGCCAGTTATCAGCTTTAGGTTAGGCTGCACGGAGAGCACTTCCCAAGAGCCGCAATGGCCCAATCAGCCGCGATTAGATAGTGCGTTGGGTCTCCGCTCGCATTCACGCAAATGCCGCCTGTACCTGGCCCATATACACCAAGTACACCATGTATACTATATACAGACGATGCGCCGTCAGATGACTCAGAATAAGACAGAATGATGAGTTCTAATCAAACGAATTCGCTTTGTGATAATATGTATAAAAATAAACTGTCTTTAAACTTTTGGCGATCACTCGAACTGTGCTTCACTGTGATCCCAATGCGTCGGAGTTCTACGCGGTACTGGCAAATTTCTGTTACGATCTGTGCTTAGTTTTCAAGAACTCTGAACCGCACATCGAGTCATTAGTTTTGTTGCTAGTTGCAGCTTTAGGCGCCATCCGAGAATTACAGCTCGGCATTCGGTCCATTTAGTATCGCTCTTATCAGCTATTGAGTGCACACATACTTGTGTGCCCTTCCAGAGGGTATTATAACTATGTCATCGAATGTGTTACGCATACGAGAAGATAGCTGCTAGCTTTAGGCTATACAGCCATATCTGTCTATAAAAAGAAAAGATTCTCAGTCTTAAAGCTATCTTCAGTTGCAGGCAGCACATATTGCGAAAGTGGACGGATCGAAGCACTATATCATATAGCTTGCATTCAAATGATCGTTAGAAAATAAGTTTATCTAGAAAAGATATCTTCAATCATTTCTGGTCTAGATATCTTAACAAAACTCAGCAAATAAGAGCTTCAGTATATCCCTATCAAAGTTAATACATATATATAGTCCGTAAGCTTTATGTCTGCAAGGGTATTTAGTATTTGGCGTGCACTTAATTCTTATTGTGTTCTACATTCGATTTGTTTGACTGCTGCTTTTGTTTCGCAGAGAAAATAGTTAAGAAATGTGACGGAGCTGTTTGCACTTGTGCTCCGGGCACTGCATGTGTAACTAATTACACAATGTGCTCGAGGTGCGACAGATATTCCATATTCCATGTACCATATTCCCTATCCATGTCCACATCCACATCCACATCTACGTCCAAGTCCATGCCCATGCACAACTGCAGCGATATTAATGATCTATTTGTCACATATTTTGTTTACCGCACGTAATGGTCATAGCCCCGATAAAAGTCTGTGTACAGAAATTCATTTCAAAATTATTTTCTTTTTAATTTGAAAACCTCATGTCTTTGTTCCGTTTTGAGCAGAAAGTCTGTATATAATCACATATATACTTGATTTCTTTGTTAAATTAAGTATACAAAATCAGTTTTTGTACTTTAAATATCAAGCATTTTTTTTTACTTATTTTCAGATTTGTTTATACCTGATTGAAGAAAAATGTAGCACAAATCGTACGTGTAATTTTAGATTATTTTATTCCCAAAATGAAGTACAAGAAAGTTCATTTACTCTATACTCTTCTTCTGTCTAGAGTTAAGGAAAATTTCAAGAATTAGAATGCAGAAAGGATATGTACTTAAACATGTAACCGGCATGAATTCCATCCCAATTAATCTAGACTCTACAAGTTCCCCTTTCTCTGAGTCTATTGCAGATCTGTTTTTTTCTGCTGAAGAACTTTTCGCTCTTGCAATCTCACAAAGTACTTCATGATTCTACTAAATTCTGAACATTATCGGTTCAATTATTGTTTGATTCTTTCAAATTGTGTAGCTGCCTAAAGTTATGCCGCACTTTTGCCTTCGAGTTCTTGAAGTCATTGACACTTGTTTGGGATTGATATGTTTTCTTCGGCTGGGCTGGGGGTAACACCTTTATGTGCACAATTCTTTCAACACCCGAGCTCCTTACGCAAATCGTGTCGAGAACTTTGGACTGGTTTGTGCTGTGCTTTACAAAGCTGGCCCATTAATCTGGTATTGACCCCAGTGGGAAAACTAAGCGGCGGGAGGTCAAAATGATGATACACAAATGTTGAAACTGCCCAAAACCAGTCAAGAAACTGAGCTGAGCTGAAAGGGTCCAAACGAGACTCGACAAATGACGTAATATCTCAAACGACACCCAGACACGATTATCGGCTATTGAACTCTTTCTCTCTGCCCAATGCTCGGGGCAGAATCATCGCTGATCATGAGGCAGAGATTACTAAATGCATTCAGCTCCAAATTGGGTGGATACAAAAGACATCTAAGAATATTCAACATTTCTTATGCAAATTAAGCACTGATCTTATTAGCCACGAATGCTCAAGAACAGTCTGGAGGTAACTAAATTAATAAAGAACTCCATGACGAAGATTTAATACCCTTGGTTTAGAAATGCCTTAATAGAGAAGCTCTACTTTCGACCGATAAAATATGGGCAGAATTCCGGTTTAATACGGCTTTGAAGATCTTGATAAACAAATAAATGTTCTTTTTTTCGACCGATTCTTCCTATAGAACTTTATGATATAGTGGTCCGACTCAGCTATCAATACTCATTAATAATATGCATATTTAATTTTGGAGTTGGAAGTCTTCTCTTGCTATGAGTTATACATTCCGTTTACTGATGGATCTGAACCGGCGACCTCACACTTGTAAGTCTGACGTTTAGCCAACAAGGCTCTACAACTTATGATACCCTACAAGACAACTTATGATAGCCTACAAGAAGCAGAAGAAGGAAAGCAGCTGGCGACAATTGGTGTGGAACCCGAAATTGGGGTCTGCTCGGTGGGAAAATGGAAATGGATGCATCGAATATTCTAATGAGAAAACCGTTAGCATAGAAAAGCAATAAAAGATGCACTTTGCAGCTGCTGCAGGTTCACGGAGTGGCTATATAAAGGTCGTCGAGCTGCATTCGCAGCATATTCATGAACCGACCATGGAACACAGAGCACCAATACTCTGGATAGGTGAGTATGAGGCGCAGACTGGACGCGGGCTGTCATCAAATTGTTGAACTCTTGCGAAACTCCTTTGCAGTGCTGCTCTCGTTGCTGGGCAGCTCGCTCACATTCCAGGAGAAGGCGTCGCTGCAGCCAAGCCAGGTCCAGGCGCGCAGCGAGAGCCTGCAGCAGACGCAGCAGCAGGTGCTGGGTGGCAGTGGCAGTGGCAGTGGCAGTGGCAGAGTTGGCGTTGATTCGGATTCGGTGGGATCGACACGTAACATCGAAGATCATCTGATGGCATCGATGGGTAAGGCTGGCCTCAAATACTTTGTGGGCTCCAGCTCGACGACTACAGCCAAACCGCCAGTACAACATCAACACCATTACTATTATCCTGCAGAGGGCAGCGAACATCCTCGCCAGCACGGGCCAGTAGTACCGCCAGGAGGTTATCCGTGGCCTGGTTATCCTCAAGTACCACCGCAGCGTCCCTGGGCACCACCCTATAATCCTTGGCCATATGGCTGGGGTCATTGGGGTGGTGGTGGTGGTGGCGGTGGTGGTGGAGGCGGAGGTGGAGGTGGCGGTTATCCTGGTGGTGGTTATCCTGGTGGTGGTGGTTATCCTGGTGGTGGTGGTTATCCTGGCTATCCCGGCAATTCCGGCTATCCTGGCTATCCTGGTCCTGGTCCCGGTGGTCCTGGCTATCCTGGCTACCCATATCCCGGCTATCCACGCTATCCCTACTATCCTGGCTATCCCCATTATCCCGGTTATCCTGGCTATACAGGCTATCCCTGGTACCGCTCCACGGAAAATGAGGAACTCGACGAGAACGCAGTGCAGCCAGAGCTCGCCGCACGCTCCGTTCCCGGCAGCTATCAGACACGTGTCTTGGCCTCCACGAGCAACCTCGTCGCTGGCAAGTCCAACAACAATGTTTGGCCGCTCTATCACCTGCTCAATGTGGCCCGGGTCTAGCCCTAGCCCTCATACTCGACCAAGAACTTGAACGCAAATAAAAATCATTTGATACATTCCAAAATATTTTCTCATTCCTAGCTGGATCAATGTGTGTAATTAAAGACGTCTGGAATCTGCCAGATATATAGAATAACAAAGCAAGATTCCGTCATGTTTATCCAAATGACACACACAAAAATATTCAACAATTCCCAAGGGCTATGCGCGAGCTCCAAGTCCGAAACGGTTCACAAAGTTCTTGTTGGCATCTCGAGAAATATGCATAATAACAAATCGATATGGCCGAGCCGGCATGTGCTGCGGCCTTCCAGCGTCAATGCCCCCCACTTGGCGATCATTGAATCGCTTCGCTCTGCTCCGCATCCGCCCCGCTCTGCTCTGGATGATCGTTAAGTTTTCGGCTCTCGAATTAAAAAACCGAAACGCCTTCATTCAACTGCGAGCCGGCGATGAATGCAAAAAAGACGGGATACAATCTCGAGCGGCTGACTCATATTTGTCCAGTGATCGGCGCGACTGACGCATACGAGTTTTGGATCAAATAAAAAAACAAAACCAACTCATTTTCAAACATATTTTGCCAGCTTTTTAACTGCCTGGTGACTGATCTTTCACGCAAATTCAAATGCGAAAAAAAGCTGTTTAAGAATTGAAATGGTCAACCGTTTCGCATTTACCTTTTTTTTATGGCCCAAAAACCAGACTTTTTGTCTCTATATGCGAATATAGGCGAGTAATCCGATTCTTGTATTTCTTTTCGTACTCTTTATGAACTTCCACAAAAAACCACAAGAAACCCTTAGTTGACACTTTGGCACTTGGCGTCTCGCCGATTCGGTAATCTTGAGCCCCGGGCAGCACACGTTCTCGCTCGACCGACCGTCGTTTGAATAATGGATCGCCAGTTCTTGAAGTCAAAAAGTGTCGAAAAAAAATAATATTGTTATGCTTGGAAGTGCTGTGCAGCTGTGTGTATTATATTGCCTGTGCCTGGAGCAATCAAAACTTATGATAGCTGCGGGTTTTTTTTTTAATTGATGGGTGAGACACTTTGAAAACATTAGTTTAGTTTTCACTGCAGTTCTGGTTTTTAAATCTATTATTCCAACTTTTTATTTTAATTTTAATGGAGCTCACTTTCGGTTTTTATTGAGGAGTTGAAACGATAAGCTGTTAAGTGAAGTAAGACACGTTTTTTCTATAGGGTATACAATTTGTCGCGCTGACCTCGATCACGAACACGTTCGTATCTGTTGGCACAGCTTAAGGCCTGACTCATTATGTTATACAGGCCCCATGCACTATCTTATCAGATGTTTGCTCGAATAAAAGAAAACCCAAAGCCGTAAAATGCAATTTCTCAAGTTCTTTGATTAAGCAAAGAATTGTACATACAAATTGCGGCGGAACAGCCCTTTAAATGTGCATTTCATATGTGCAAGGCACCCTGTATGAAAAGCCATTCTCAAAAAGAAGAGGCTCCCTTGATATGAAAGAACAATCAAAGCTATTTGGAGTAATTTATCATTTGATTTGAATAAACAAAGAATGTTACAATGGTGCAGAGGACCCTGTACATACAAAATGCTGCGAAGCTTTTATATGTGCAAGGCACCCTGTATGAAAAGCCCATTCCCAAAAAAATTAGGCTCCCTCTTTATAAAAGAATAATCAAAGCTATCAGGCGAACTTGTTCCAGTACACTGAATAGGCAAATAATGTTACAATAAGACCCTGTATATGTGCATAGCACCCTGTAGAAAACGCACCATTCCGAACAAAAGACACCTTCTCGTTATCAAAAACATTTTAGTGGAAGTTGCCAATAGATAATGCGGCGTTGTGTCGATAAGTGGACGCTTAACTTGCTTTTTCGACCATAAAACAACAAATTTGGTGCTCATAATAAACACAAATCGACATCTGATAAATCGAAGACACCTTCCACCCACCCACACACCTTCGCACACATAGACACAGGTGAGTGGTGCACATGACAAAGCTCGTTAACAATAAAGTCCCCGTGCGGCATTATCGCAATTAACCAAACTAAAATGCGTGCAATTTTGAGGGCTCGCTTTAAAAGACGGTTTCTGTTGCTTTATTTGCTGCTTCTTGTTTGTTGTTATGGGCCTTGCTCATTGTTCAGATATCTATATGCAAGAATTACATCATTTCCATTAGAAGCGCTGGCCACAAACTGACTTCAGCTTCTGTGTGTTGCTCGCTTCAAGGTGAAGCTCCATGGAGCCAAAAGGAGGGTGTATATATATATATATATATATATATATACATATGTCTTTGTGTGTGCACAACTGTGCTGGCATATATATTTGGCAAACAATGGAAAGACGAGGAAGGGGGGGGGCTACTTGGCTAACCAGACGATCGCTTTGACTGAAGCTAAGCGGCTTAGCGTCTTATTGCCACAAAAAACACACAGTTGAAAAATGGGTCAAATCAATAGACGCCATTGAAATTGAAATTGAAATGAAATTCGATACATTTTCAATTGGGCGTTGATAACAAGAGCAGGGCGGGGCACAAACATGCCCATACGTAATTACATTATTATGTATGCATGTTAGATTACAAAAACCTGCGGGTTTGCTGTCGTTTTGGCCGCACAACTATGACTTGTTTAGATACATATATATTTATATATACTATTCTAGTTTTTTCTTAGCTAACTGACTCACTGACTGCTGATAAACACATCGGCTAAACGATAATTGACATTTTAACTGTAGCTTTATTTTGGAACAAAAGAAAGCACTTGCAGAAATTCCAACTACAAGTACAGATAAATGCCGGTCAAGGTTTCTATGATAAGCCCCAACAACAAGTCTGGTTAAGGCTCAAGAGCGTCTGACTAACAAGTATGGGAGGAGAACGCTTCCAACTCAGCATCATCAAGTTTAGGGATGAAGCTTCCGAGAAAACAAAATGGAACAGATTATAAAATTAAAGGAGCAAAAGCGTGCACTGGCAGTTTGTCTGAATTATTAATCATTTGACCCGTGTAACGCCAGGTAATTTCTAGCATATCTTTCCATATATATGTATATGTATGTATATATCTCTTAAGTTGACCCGCTTTGTTGGTGTTTGTTCCTGCTGCAAAAACTATGCAAACAATATTAAACAAAGCGGACAAAGAGAGGCGCAACCACAGCGAAACACGCGTGTGTGGGGGCAAAAGGAAGTGTCCAGGAAGCGAAACAGTCGCCTAAAAGCAAATGGGAAGATAGTTTGCGCCCGAGGTTAAGGTGCTGCGGCCACCAACCAACCAAACCAAGAAACCACCACCAGCAGCAGCACGAAGAGCAGCCGCCAGCAGCCGTCGGCACATGGCCGTAAATGCCGCTTTATTAGACGCACATAAACATAAACCAGATTTGTGCCTGTTGTCGTTGGTGTCCAAGTTCAAATTGTGCAAAGGAAAGAAAGTCGTGCTGCCAGCCAGAGACAGACGGATCGCGACCTGGGCAAACCGGCAGAACCGCTTTTTGCTGTGATCTTTTTCGTGCTTTTTTTTTGTGTGTTTGGTGTCTTCTTCACAGCTTGCAGCACATTTGTTACACTCAGGATAACCCAAAAAGAGCCCGTTTCAGGCATTCACATATGCAAAAATTGTAGCTCCGATTAGTTTGACGGCCGCTCAATCATGTTGCAGCCAAGCACATCCGTAATGGCTAATTAGCTGCGACAACCGTCGCCGATAAGAAGTTGGGCAGTCAATAAATATGTGGGCACGTTTATAATAAATGAAAGCAAGTACATAATTTCACTCACTGTCCGCAGTTGTTGTTTGAATTTCTTTTTCGATCGTTTACCGTTAGCTTGACCCGCCGCTGTCAGCAGCAGCAGCGGCAGCAGCGACGTTCAAAAAAATTATAAAACAATCGAATAGTCACTTGTTGCTTCTATGGCCGCGACACTTGTTATGTGCTAGATATTTTTTGTTTAGCTTTGGCACGCGCTTAGCATTTAAATTGACATACAGCCAAAAAAAGTTCTTGAATAATTTATACCTTGTTAATAAGCACAGCCCGGCGACAGCAAACGCACCTTGCAAAAGTTAAAACCTAACTGAATCGCGGCGCTCGTTTGCCGCCACATTTCGCATAGCTCACCGGGCAACAACAATAAACGCGCTGAGCAATAGCGATGTGCATTTGTGCTCGTTAATCGTGTATCGCTTATCGATTAATCAGTTATTTAATTAAAAGCGGCAACACCGGCTAATGAAAAGTGGTCAAACGATATGGCGGCTCCATTAACATATGGCTGTTAAATGAAATTTTAAAATGTGACCATTAAACTATTTTAACGATATCTTACATGTACAACTATTGTTATTCACTTTTATTGTTAATTCACCAATTTAATTATATGTAACAATATGCTAAAAACTTTTACTAAAGCTACAAAACACAATAATTTCTTAGTTGATTTAATCTCTGAAAAAGAACTGTGGTTTATATTTTCCTTTTAACTTACAATCCAAGGCAAATGCGAACTGTGTTTTAGAAATTGTCGAAAAAAATATCTGTACTCAATAACGCTTAGATGAAATGATTAGATCAGACTAAAACCCTGAGTTTGCTGTATGGCTTGCAGCAGCTTATACTTAAGTCGTTCCTTGGTCTTATATCGTGGCAGGTCTAGCAGATTGAAGCACGTGTGTGCAACGGGCAGGAAACGTTCATCAGGTGTGGGTTGTATTACGATCTAAACAGAACGGTCAGAAGGCGATAATTGTAATGCTTTAAACAAATAGTTTACCTTTATGGCCTTCATGCCCTGTATGGGAATCCGATCACTGCCCGTCAAATAGAGCAGGAACTTTTTCTTCTCCGCAAGGGACAGTTCGTGGAACACTTCCCAAAACCATTTGACCTAAGACAAAAAGAAAATTACATTCACTTCACACGATATTTTCTTGGCTGATAGAATTACCGTTTCATCACCGGACATGTAGCCCTCCTTGTATT